AATTTAAACAAAACACATCCGTACATTGAACATAATGCACTGCATAACGATGCTGAGTATACTTAGATTATTATCCTGCCTTGCGTTATGTCGTTATATTTCTATAATATAATGCTGAGTGCTTATAGCACAACCTTTTTAATCTGCTCTAACAAGCATATGGAGCCGTATAATAAGTGCTATCTGCTGGATATGATCATACCGCCTGTAAAGAAAACACAATTAAATAGAGTCATATATTAAAATGTGATCTACTCTCGACTGCGTTGTTTTTGTTTGTTTGTGAGTTCCCTCACAGTTTGCATGGCAGGGAATGGGTTAACCAGTCACTGGGAATTTTAACATGGATAATGAGTGGATTTTACCCCCTGTACTGCCATAAAACTGCAAATTACCAAGTGATTAATGAGCAAGGAGGAAAAGGCAAAACCAGGAGTGTCATTTCACTAAAGATCAACAACTGGCAAGTGTATACTTATTTGGGACTGAACCCTCTGTCCAGTGTCTGCTATCCCTGGCACCATCTTGTTCCCCTCAACATGTCTGCGCTCCAGTCAGTTCTGGTTGTTCTAATACTTGCCTTATCTACTATGGCACAAAAAGGTAAGTGAAATGTGGTAATCATGTTAACTCGGTTAGAGTTGGTCATTAGTAAACTGGAAGAAAAGAAATATCTGGGTTTTATTTTATTTTATTTTTTTTATTTGAAACAAGGAAGTAGGGACAAAGTTTCGGCACCTCCCTGAGACTAGAAGGCTCAGAGAGGAGCCAAAATGTTGTCTCCACTTCCTTGTTTTAGATAAAATGCAAAAAATTTGTGTGTGGTGTTTTTTTTGTTTTGTTTTAGGTCACAAAAGCTGAACATGTTGCTGAGTTTATGTATTTTTCTTAAAACCAATTTTTTTTTTATATATAACTGTTGTGCAATTAAATTTTTTACACTTTTTTTTTGTGAATGTGTGACAATTTATTAAACTCTGCTAATTTGCGACTTGAAGTGCATGATTTAGAAAACATGCAAGTGCGGGCTCTATTATGCTTGTTGGCATTTTATGATGTCACTGTAATGGTGACATTGGCACAGTCAACTGTGTGTGTGTGGCTGTGCGTCTCAACTTCCCTTAGCCTCCATATGTGCACATCTGTTTTTGCTGCATTATTTTGAAGATATTCTATATGGTGTCAGTCTGGCCATTTTTCCAAGCTACTCCAAACTCATGCTTGCGTCTCTCTGTACTATATAAAAACACCACTTCCATTGGAGCATATCTGATCTACTTTGATTTTTGATATGGGTTTTTGAAACCGCTCCTGGCAAGACGTTCCAGCACTAATTTCAATGCTTTGAAAGTCTCGAGTTGGTGTTTGCAAATGACACAAAACTAGGTAAGGTAATAGTATGTGAGCTGAATATTATGTGCAGAAGGACTTTCTTTAATTAAGGGACTGGGCAGTCAAGTGACAGATGAGATTTACAGGTTTATTGTGAAAGTGGATATCAAATTCAAGGTAAAAAGAGCCAAACTGATAACATTCTCTAAGGTAGCTATGTGCCGAGATCCGCTACTCCTGCCCTAATTTTGATATTCACTTTGAATCCTCTATGAATAATCCTGTTAAAGTATATGATTGCAAAGTTTTATGTATTCTTGGATGGGAAACACACAAACAATTTAAATTTTACCTACAAAGCATAAATGAAAAGATCTTTGTAATAGTTGTAGTAAACCATGTACAATGTCAGTAAGATATTTTCTAGCACAGGGGTTCCCAATCCTGTCCTCAAGTAACCCCCAACAGTCAGAATTTAGGGACTACCCTTTTGTTTTTAAAGTGTGTTGTTTGTGGGTGTTCCCCCCCTACCCCCTTCTAAAAACACCTTAGACACAACTGGGTAATCCCCTAAATTCTGAATGTTAGGGGTTTCTTGGGGACTGGGTTGGGAACCACCGATCTAGCATAATGAGAGGTATTAATTAATGTGGTGATCTCTTTCAAATGTTATTATGCAACTAGAAAAAGTGTGCACACAGACAACAAAAAAATAAAAAGGGGAATGGAAGAGTTTAGTTCTAAAGAGAGGCTTGAAAACATGTTTGTATTATATATAAGCTTTTTAGAGGGGATTTGATAACATTATACCAAGGCTCAAAACTTACACTCACTGCTAGTCAATATTAAGTAACAATTCTATCCAGGTACATGGAAATTTAGCCATGTGAGTATTGCCATGGTCCGCTTTCCCAATGAATGTGAAAATCCTCAATGCTGTTTGTGAACAAGGTGGCTTTTGATCAGTCACTACACAGTTTATATCAAAATCCACCAAAAAAAGTTAATAAAATAGTTAATTAAATAGGAAAGCAAGTCACTGTCAGTTTAAAGCATTATGAAGTTTGTTGAAATTTTCTATCCTTTATCCAATTCAAATGTTGCCACACCCCTCTCTGGTAACCTATTCACTAACAGGGCAGTACAAATGACAAGACTTGAAGAAAGGACTACAGCAGGGTCAACGGTTCTTTACAGTATAACAATAAATATGTGGAATTTGCTACAAGATGTTTGAATATGGATAAGTGTAATAACTATCCACTTACGTCAGGTGGAAGAGGTTTTCATCCACACTTTTCCCCCACCACAACTCTGTTGGTATGTACTTTACAAGTCACGCCAAGCCTCTATTGCAAGCCAGTAACGAACCGCATGCTGATGAATTGAAATAACAACAAAACAGCTGTCCATGAGTGGTTCACTGGCTTTGCACCTCTTCCTGAGTTGTTTCAAAGCTGTTTGTTTATAGCAAACACATACACCATGGAATCCACGTATAAAGTGGAATTATGAGGCAAAAACGCGGTTCTTTGTGGAGCTCATTTGCATACGCCTACCCAGAATCCCTTTCAGTAGTGAGATTTATGTGGGAAAAGCAAGTCTTATGGCTTGACTGGTGTGTGTGTATTTGTGTTTAGCAATGTTATTTATATTTAATTAATTTTTTTAAGCGATTGTTACCCATTCCTATATAACCATGTACACCTTGGGGAGAATATTAAAAGTTTGCATGGTGAATCTAGTATCGTCTCTTAGTTGAGCTGCTCCTCCTGGGGGCGACCGTGTGCTGCTATTATTGCATATTCTGTACCATAGTTAACCTTTTGGACTGCAATGTTGGGCAGCATTTTGCCATTGACTCACGTGCTGACTGTTATGCAATGTTTACATTATTACATAAATTGGCACAATGTACTGCATAAGCAGCTGCTGAATCACCAAATTACAAAGATGCTGGTGGTGAGCCTATTGAATATATTGTTTCATTGCTGATGTCAAAGAGCTCTAAATAATCTGGTCAATTTGTTTGAAATGTCTTATAGTTGGTTTGTGTCTCTTTATTTTGTGTGTGGTTTTTATTTTTATTTTTTTATTGACTTATTTATTTTTATTCTATGAAGGGGATACATTTCTTTATGTATAAATGTTGAAAAAGGGTAGATATTTAGCCAAGTTTTATAGCCATTGTCAACTATGGTGTGTTTGTGTTTTTTTTTATATTTAATCTGGTTCCAGCATTGCATGGGGAAAGGTTGCTGGGAAAAGGCATATGACCAATGGCGGGACTACCGCGGTCGCAGTTGCAACCAGGCCCGGCTGCCCTGTGAACCCCTGCTACCAGGGTGCCCACCAGTCTTTTGGTGCAGTACAACTGATGCAATGTATTTCCAGGCACCCGGTCAGGGCTGCAGCGCTTTAACAGAGCGACCGGGCCCCCTGCGATGAGGTCAGCTTGGGAGAAAGTGATTCCTGCAAGTTAACATAGAGCGTTGCAAAGGAGAGGAAGGAGTCAGTGGGAGCTTTGACTCCCATCAGCCTGAGCCAGCCATTGGACCCCAGGGAAGTCACCCTCCAGTTTCCTACATTTTAGGTGCAGGAGGGTGACTAAAATATTTTGTATCTGTATGTCAGTGTGTGTCATGGTTTGTATGAGTGTCATTCTGTGTCAGTGTAGGCACCTGGATAACTGTCACCCCTTCACCCTGCCACACTCTCAATAACTCCACCAATCCTGTCACTCAGCCTATGACACTCCCCTTCTCTCACACTGTCACACTTACACCCCCCCAATCCTGTCACACTTATTCTCCATCACTCTGTCACACTCGCCCCCTTTCACCCGGCCACACTTAACCCTTCCATTTCTATCATACTCACTCCCCCCCACCCCCAACCATTCCACACTCACCCCTGTGGGGTGTGAATGAGACACATGGAGGGGCTGGGGGGGCATCAATGTGACGTATGAAGGGGGGGAGGGTGCCAAGGGCAATTTTCACCCCGGGTCCCCATGGTGTGTGTGTGTGTGGTGGTGGTGTTTTTTTATTTATTTTTTTATTTTATCAAACTGCAAAAGAGTTTAAAGGGACACTCCAGGCAGCCCTTTTTACTCGCCTCGTTCCAGCGCCGGGAGCCTCGTGAAGCCATGCCCCCTATTTCGGCAAAATGACGAAATAGGCGGGCGCGAGCAGGGAGCAATCAGACGCTTCCATTCGGAAGCGTCATTGCTCCCTTGTGTGCATGCGTGGCTTTGCTGCACATGCGCACATACTTCGTAGGGTGGCACTAAGCGCACTACCGCTCAGCTCGCAGTCTTTGCCTGCCCCCTCTCCTCTGCTGACAGGCAGGAGAGAGAAGGCGCGCACACCGTGCCTTCTCTCTCCTGCACACGTCAGACGTATTTTAATACGTCTGACGTGTACAAGGCCCTTTTAGGGCCCTACATGACAGGAAGTCCCTCTGGTGGCCGTCTGAGTGACGGCCACTGGAGGTATTCCTATCAATCAATGTAAACACTGTATATTCTCTGAAAATACAGTGTTTACATTAGATTGCCTGCAGGGAGCTATAGATCTCACCTGAACAACTACATTAAGCTGTAGTTGTTCAGGTGACTATAGTGTCCCTTTAACAGATAAAATGGCAAATGCCTGTCTCGATGAAGATGATTTTTATCCATCCTCTCCTTCAACATGCTAGTTGGTAACAACTGGCACATAAGTTACAACAAAAAAAATGAAATAATTTGATCACAATCATCCCTCTTTAAAATGATGCAAATTATCCAGGTGTTGTAAGACAGCCCATTGTAGACAACAAAGTAGAATATGCCTTTTGATTCTTCAGAGCTACTGGCCTTCAAACAAGTGTTAATCCACCTATATTTGCACCTACCTGAAGCCTAGAGCACTGATCCTTCATAACCAGCTTTCTGAGCAGGGCCGCCATCAGGGGGTGACAACCATAACGGTTGTCACGGGCCCGGCGGCCCTGGGGGGGCCCGGAAATGTGGGGCCCATCGGGTGGCCCACACACTTAGGGCCACCCGATGGGCCCTATATCTTCAGGGGTCCGGTCAGCGTTGTGGCTGTGGTATAGCGCGACCGGGCCCTTTAAAAAAAAAAAAAAAAAACAGCCGGAAGTGGTCACTTCCTTCCAGCTCACTCCGCATGGGAGGAGCGCGCGCGCCATTGAAGAGGCAGAGCCAGGCAGTGAAGAGGGAGCTGCGCCGACTCCCATCATCCCCAGCAACCCTCCTGCAAAGAAAAGGTAAGAGACAGGAGGGTGGCTGGAAAATGAGCTATGTCTGTCTGTATGTGTATGCATGCATGTATGCTTGTATGCGTGTATGTCTGTTTTAGTATGTATCTGTGTCCTCTTGTATGTGTGTGTGTGTGTGTGTGTGTTCCTGTGGGCGGTATTTGGAAGCGGACCCAGTGGGCGGTATTTGGAGGCGGGCCCCA